ATTTTCACGATATGCATCTCACGGTATGATATTTACTGCGATATTTTGAAGAGGCTAATATAATTGTAGAGAGGACTCTTTTTTGCTTTTAAAATGCCTTGACAAGATTTTGGTGTGAATTATTTCCATCATAATCCCAAGAATTCAAGTAAAAAACATATTTCTTCATGTTGTCTGCACTGAAATGAATCATGGGATATGTAGTTTCCAATGTTTATAAGCTGTTTCTACTATAAAACCATGTATTTAAGCAAAATAACTTGTAATTTGATATATTGTGACGGTCCATGATATTATTGTGAGACTTTTGATGATGTGATATCACAGTATTTCGGTTACTGTGACATCCCTCGTGTTAATGACTAAGACTGATGTATTCATATTATGTTTGAGCTGGTAGTGGTTTAACAAAGAAATACTGCCGTTGGCATGCATTTAGTTCTTAAAAATAGTGAAATATCGCAGAAAATGTCAGCTCCATCGCCTTCATGCTTCTATGGAGATGTCATTGCTCTGCCTAAACTGTTCCACAGTATGACATTAAACAGATATACCTTACATTTGTCGAATTACAGATGGTTTAATAGCTGAGAAATACATAGAAAAATGGGAGGTTGCCTTTTGACTGATCTGATCAGTAACTTGGTATTAGGGATGTAACAATAACCAAAATATCGTGATACTGTATCGTCAAAAGTCTCACAATAATATCGTGGACCATCACAATATATCGAATTACAAGTTCCTTTGCTTAAATGCATGGTTTTATAGTAGCAACAGCTTAAACATAGGGAACTACATATCCCATGATTTATTTCAGTGCAGACAACATGAAGAAATATGTTTTTAACTTGAAGTCTTGGGATTATGATGGTAATAATTCACACCAAAACCTTGTCAAGGTATTTTAAAAGCAAAAAAAATTGTCCCATCTACAATTATATTAACCTCTCTAAGATATCACAATAAATATCGTATCATGAGATTTGGATATCGTTACATCCCTACTTGGTCTGGTTTGGTCTTCATGAATATAGAAAGGTGTAATATCATACTGTGAAACACTCCAGAGAAAGCAATAACAACAAAGGTATTTAAAAAGTTACACAATGCACCTTTAACATGAGCCCTAGTAGGTTATACACATCACACTTCTCTGTCTTTATAAAACTGAGATTCTTGCAGGCAAATTTAAAACATCAACCATGTGTCTTCACCAACAAAGAGGAAGCTGTTACATAAAATATTATAGCTTGAGGTGTATATGGTGTCTTTGTATGTTCACCAATCCCCCAAAACAAGAACCCCGTTGTGTAGACTGACAGGTGGATTCTGAGTCCCGGTTTGCTGCTGCGACGTTTCGCTTCAGCCTCAGGGGCACCTCACCTTGTGTAATCCCTGGATGCCTCAAATTGTCCTGGATACACAAAGACTTCCTGTGTGCTAAAATAAGAAGCCAGACTTACAGGTGCATTGTGTAACTTCTTGGTTTGGGGCTCGTCGTCTGCTTGTTTCTATGGATATGTCATTGCTCTGCCTGTAATGTTCCACAGTGTGACTTTAAACAGCTCTACCTTAGATTTATTCAATTACAGGTGGTTTTATGGCTGAAAAATACACACAGAAACAGGACATTCTGACTCTTTCGCTCCTGGAATGTTTCAGGATATGTCCAAAAATAAATATCCTAGTCAAACTATAGGTCAAACCCCAAGCGAGAAAACTCTATTGACAGTAAGAATGCAAGATTTCCAGGTATTTTTCTCAATAATGAAGTCAATGAAGATAAGATAGATACGTTTAATGCTACACAGTGGAACATTCTAGGAAAAGCCAGGACATCCTCATGGAAACAAGCAGGAGGTGAAACTCAGCATCCCAAAAGTTAAATAGCAAATTTAAAGCGCACTTAAAGCCTATAATTACTACTTTTACAACAACATCTACTACTGCTTCTACAACAACAACATCTACTACTACAACTGCTCGTACTAAGCCTACTAGTACTACTGCTACAGCCTGATGCAAGCTGCCTGTGTCACACGAAGGGCCAAAAGTAGGTGACGGGCTTATAGTTAAATCCTTGAGTGTGCTATGGGTCTATAAGCAGGTGAAGGGGCAGCTGCAGCTCAGACTATTTAACGCCAACACAACATAACAATATAGGACACGGATCAACCATCTGCAATATTGGGAAGCAACTGAATACATGTGCAGAGAATACATCTTCTGAATACTCATTTTAAGTAACTGTATTCTAGTAGGTACTTTTAAAATTGGTGGTACTCAGAATAGTTTCTTTCCTAAAATCAAAAGGAAACATTGCGGTACTTGATCTCACAATTTTGGTTTCAACCTGCATATTATTAACCCCTTAACCCCTGAATTTATCTAGCTGTATATAAAAAAAATGGTAAATTAAGTTGAGATTATTAATTTGACTATAGCAAAATAAATAAATTGAAATGCAGGTATGTTGCAAACTTACGACAAGTAGAAATAAGTGCTTGCCAAAGCTTCCTAGGAAGGTGCTGCACATACACTCACCAGCATTATCACTATCTCGTCTTATATCTTGATCCCAACAGTTTTGTCGCATATTTGTGACACTCGGCATTAAGGGGTTAACTAGGGATGTAACAATAACTGAAATATTGTGATAAAGTATCGTCAAAAGTCTCATAATAATATCGTGGGGCATGGCAATATATCGAATTACAAGTCTCTCTGCATAAATTAATAGTTATATTATACTATAGTTACAGTTATAAGCACTTTTAAACCTTAATTATTTGGATTATGACAGACCAAAGTCTGTCGAGGCTTTTTAAAGGAAAAAGTAGCATATTCACAATTTTGTTAGCCCCCACAAAATATCACAATAAATATCGTACTGTGAGATGTACATCGTAAAGATTTGAATATCGTTACATTATTTGTTTTAGTATTAATAAGAAAAACAGAAAAAACTACTCTTGTGGTGAGTGCATGTCTGATTTTTTGTGACAGGAAATGCTTTAAAATCATGACACAAACACAAAGCTGTTTTTAATCCCATGTTGCATTTTTACACTAATTTAATTGTAAAAATATTCAGAATACTGTACTCTAATTGGACCATGTATCAGAATACGTTACAAAATACATTTTAAAGCAGGTATTCAACATTCAATATTCTCTAGCTAAATATATTTTCAAATCTCTTTCCCTGCCCATCAGTCTGGCCTGTCTCTAACATCAACACGGTGACGGGAGGATGTTTGTGTACATGTGACACCTACATATGGCCTTAGGCATGTCTTAGGGTCTGGAAATGTTTCACAAGCTTCAGTGCAGAAGTAAGAGCGAACTGTGAAAAATGCTGTTTACAAAAAGTGCTACCAAAAATATCAAATTTTAAGAAAGGTCAGTCATGGGTTAAAGAAAGACTGGCTAATTTTCGTGTGGGTGTAGATTGCAGTTTAGACTATAGGGATTTGGTATCTGTACCCAACTTCTGTTCTTCTTTTCCAAATAAACATGCTTTTGCCAAGATTTTTCTACCATTTTGTAATACAGCCCAGAGATAAAAAGTCAAGAAAGAGAACACTTACTGAAATAAAAATTGGAAACTAAAATATGAAAAATTCTGTAGCATTTTGAAAAAGATAACAAAGATACAAACTTAGACAAACTAGCAGAGGTGGGGACATGCAAACTGTGACTTGGACTCAAGTCAGACTTGAGTCACTATTTTTAGGACTTGAGACTTGACTTGATAAAATGGACTAAGACTTGGGACTCGACGTGGACTTGAAGGTCAGTGACTTGGGACTTGACTTGGACTTGAGGCCAGTGACTCGAGACTTGACTTGCCTGTATTTGACTTGGGACTTGACTCGGACTTGAGGTCAAAGACTTGAGTATTACTTGAGACTTACTTGAGACTCGCAAAACAAAGACTTGGTCCCACCGCTGTAAACTAGATTAGAAATTAATTGGTTTTTTTTGTCTATCCTTAAAGATGCACTATATAACTTTCCTGTCTCCATGGAGATGTTGGTATTGAAGTGTGGTATTAAATGTGTCTGTCTCAGCGGAGACAAGACCAAGTCACACATGAGTGGAGAAGTAAGTCTGCTCGTAGTAAGAATACAACACCTGTACTGAAAAAAGCAGCATAGATACTGTATGTTTGTCTCCAGTACAATCTAAACACAAGCAAGTGGCAGACCTCCCACCAGAAAAGTTACATACTGCACCTTAAATTTTAATCAATTTCAGTCAGGTTTTCATGATGTTCTGACCACAGCACACTCCATATTCATATAATCTAACCTCTCTAAATGTCCATGTTCAGAGCAAGCCTTGCAGAGCCTTGTCTGGTGCTAACACAAAACAGAGATTAGCCTGGATGGCGGAGCACAGTAGTTTGGGCTGCTGACAGACAGAGTGACCCGGGTTACCACCAACGCACATGAACCCCAGTCAAGGTCGAACAGGGAAATATATACAGCAGATTAGCCGCTTCACAGAACACACTAACCCTTTGGACATCAGGATACCACAGAGAGAAAGAGGGAGAGAGGGAGAGAGCGAGCGAGTGAGGAAGGGATTTGGAAACTGGAGAATGAGACAGTTGAGCTGAAATGAGATTGATGCAAAATATGCCAGTATCTTTGTATGGTATTGTCATTTGTAAAGTAGCCTTTTTTTTACACATAGACTAATAAATGAGTATTCAAACTAAATCCATTTAAATCAGTCAATTATAATTTAGATAATGAAATCCAACAAGCATTAGTGTGTCTGGTTGTCCAATTTGTCTTTCTTGTTGTAGTCCTTTAGGTACTTTGGTAATATTTAGCAGGATAAGCAGCAATATTGAACTTTGTAAGACAAAAGTTACAATAAGTGTTGTGTGTATGAGATAAGAATGTGTTAAAGGTCCATCTATAAAAAGCTGATTAATATACTTGTGTTATTGTTGCTATTTTTGTGCAGTGGTGCTTGTATCTTACCTGCAGCTCACACCACGCCACCTCCACTGTGGTCTCCGTGTCCAGTCCTTTGTACACGTTCTTGAAAGACCCCCGCCCGATCTCTATGTTGAACTTTAGATATCTTCCATCAGGAGACGTCGCCACGGCTTTGGTCTCCAGGTCCTCCTTCTCCTCCTGCTCCCACTGAGTATCAAATGGGATCCGGGAGAGGTTCTTTTGCTGTTTGGTCTGGGCCAGTTCACTGTCAGAGTCCGAGCTGGCCTCCTGCCCCCGGGGCCGGCGCTCCCAGTCCGCCTCGTGGTGTGTGGTGTCCGGCTGCGTGGGGGGCGTGAGGGTGCAAGGGCCCGGGCTGGAGACGGGTGAGGGCGACTGGGGTGACTCTTCCTCGGCCTTCTCTTCCTCTACCCTGGACTCTGTTAGTGTCAGGATGTTTTCGGCGGACCACGACAAAGTTTTGGAAAGAACGCCGCTGTAAAGAGGCGAATCCAGGTCCATGCTGATTTTCTGCAGCCCATAAGAGTTCCTTCTTGCGCCCAGTCCGTGCGTCCTGAGCACGGACGGGACTCGGGGCTCTGACATATCCATATGGAGGCCGGGGAATCCGCGTCCTGGTATCTCAACCTGTGCGTTGGACATTGTTGCAGGTTCAGTATAATTTCAGTTTGGTGCCTAAAGTGGGACATAAGAACAGAGGCATTAGGGTCACTAAGGACAGTAAGTTGCAGAGAGGATGTCATGTCAGATCGTACACGACAGATAACAAAAACTACATTTAAATGAAATAACTTTTAACAATACCCAGAACTAGACGATAAAAAATGTTAAGTTATTAAATATGTGGACTTACTCATGACAGCTGTGGTTCAGACCGTCTCACATCGACAAACCCCGCAGATAAAAGCACATTAAAGCATACTTCCTCTTGGTTTATCGGAGTTGTTCTCTTGTACAAGTCCTCAGTCATAACCTCCAGAGGGAGGGCAGCTCTGCCTATATCAACAACAGAGCAGTGGAAAGCAGCGCGCACCGTGCGTCCCGGCTGCGCGCGGCCAAAACTCCGCCCCCTTCTCCCCAGCATTCGCGCGCGCATCCAACAGGCAGTAATTACAGCACGTGGAAAGATATTATTAATTAATGTCAATAGAAAAAGCAGGGGGATATTTGCTATTGTTTTAACAGCTGTTGGTTCCCACGGGGCGTTGTGGTTCAGTCTTGTGTCTCTAAATGAGTTGTGCTTTAGAGACCACACTACAGACCCGTTTGACATTTGCTTGTATTGATCAAAGGAGCAGCACAGGGACAGCGTGTTCACATCATTAGATTTAAAGGTTTAGACCCTGTTTGTGCCTTAACCAAAGGACAGCAAGATGTCCCTTGGGAAATTAACTCCCAGTGGGCAATGTTTTGTTGACCCATTTCAGCTTGTCCATCCAAAGCATTTATAGCACAATGTTGTTAGAATGATAATCCACACACATGCTGAACAAGTGTGTGTAGTTTCAAAGTATGCCCAATAGGGGGAGCCAACTGCAGTATTAGAGTAACCGGACACTTTTACGATCACTCAAGGCCACCCTGAGCGAGCCCCACCTGTTTGGAGGGTTTTTATCTACACGTTGGACTCTCAGGAGAGATGTTACGTCCTGAATAGCGCATGTTATGAGTAATCCTGCACAGCTGTGAACCAGAGCAGCCTCTCTGCACGTCTCAATCACGTTTAGTTTACATGCTTCTTGCTTTATACGTACTGCGAATATAATAGACATGATCTACAGGCTCAATGTAACGACAATGTAAGGAAATCACTGCATTGTTAAAGGTGCACTGTGTAACTTTTTTGGGCTGTTACCTGCTTGTCTCCATGGAGAAGTTATTGCTTTACCTGAAATGTTCTTCTGTATTGCATTAAAATTATGTAACTTGCAGTCACTTAAATACTGGGAATTTTCTTATTTTGAACATTCACTCTCACAGAGATCTGACCTGTAACTTGGCCCAGTACCGTTACCTGCTTGACTCCATGGAGACTAGGAGTGTGTAAAAAATATTGAAATATCAACATATCGTATCATTTAATGTGATGATACAGTATCAATATCGTGGGCTGCTGTATTGATATATATCGGCAAGAGTATTTTTTTTTTGTATATTTTACTACATTTTTTTGGTTACAGCTACAGTTTTGTTGCTTATTTAGTGAAGGGAAACTCATTTATGTGCCACATTTGACATTTTCACTGTTTTGATGATTAAAATGTTTGTGTTTCATATGAACTTTGCACAAGAAGTGGTTTAACAAAGACTTTTAGTGTCACAGCCTTGATTTAGTCTTAATTTTTTTTATTGAATCGTATCAAATTGATTTGAAATATATCGTATCGAACCAAAAGTGCACTGTATCGAGATATGTATTGTATCGTGGCTTATGTATCGAGGTATGTATCTTATCACCAATTTCTTAATGAAACCCAACCCTAATGGAGACAGATGCTTAAGACTTTACTATGGGACATTATAGCAAGAGCATTTCCATATGAAATGTGAATTCATATCCATGAACCAACCTTCGATCAGAAGTTACACAGTGTACCTTTAAGGTTAAGGTTGTTGCATATTGTATTATTTAAGTTATAGACTACCTCATACTACTCTGTGTTTGTGATTATTATGTTTTTTGCAAGCTTTGTGCCAAGTAATTTCCCTCGTGGATCTACAAAGTTTGTGTAAGTACAAGTTAATAATTTATTATAGAGTTAAATATTAAAATCTGAAAATAGCTAAGATAATTCTCACTACATTTAATGATAAAAGTATCCAAAATAGAGTGCTACCATAGTCGGCACAAGCAGTCTGTTCAGATAACTATTGATTTTCCTGGTATCACTTTGAATTGATAAAATATAAGCCCTAGAACAAGACAAACCAAACAACAGTTACCAAATGTAGATTTATTTTTCTATTGAGGATAAGAAAAAGGAGTGAAATATTGATAGAGAGGACAGAAGAGTCACAGTAGCACGATACTAAGACAGCAGTCTGTGGCCCAGGTCCCTGTAGAGTTCCTATAATGGAAGCATGTATTCTCAAAATATGGGTCCCTCTGGTGTTGTGTTTTGGGATTTTTTAAAGACGTCATTACAGCGGCCCTACACCAGAGCTAATGAGACAGAAAATCAGAGTTAACAAGAAAATAAAAGAGAAATAAAACTATATTTACAGAAAGAAAGAGCAGAAGGTGACAGCTCTCCACCCAACATTATTCACGATTATACTTAGTCCTGATACTTGCTGCTAAAACAAATGGTTAAAAGGTCCAATATTACGCAAAACCTTGACCTTTATGGGCTTGAAGTCACGTTGTTTCATGTTAAGTCATGAACGAATGAAACAAAACACAACTCCAGGTCTGTTTATGATAACAGATCTGAAAACAGCGTAATATGGAACCTTTAAAGTTTAGCAACAGTTCCCTAAAAAGTGACATTATAGTAGTGTCACTGATTTCCCCCTTTCCCAATCAGTTATCCATGGATTTCAGAAAGATGTAAAATTAGGTTAGCTGCTTTAGCACTTAATAATTCAAAATATTATATCTTTTGAATGGTCAGCCTGAAACCTATGAATAAGGACATCAGTTCATTTCCAAGTAGAAAAACATGAACCAACAAAGGCAACGCAAATGACAGGACCACATGGACTTGGCCTCGCACCAGGCACCTTTGTTTTGCCTGAAAGGTCACTGCAGAAATGGCCTCTGGAGTGAATTTGGGGCTCAGAGAATTAGAAACAGCACTAGCACCGCTCAGAAGAATTTGACCCCTTTGCTGTCGTCCATGGTGATGAGTTCAGCTTTGCCTTCAGACTGTAAAGCTTGCAACGACCTCAGCAGCATCCACTCTTCCAGACCATGAAACTCTGAACACAAGATTCAATTTGTGATTAACCAAGGATGTCATGAGAGGTCAAGTTTCACTGTTCATTATCAGAATTTGAGTGAATTATTTTGAAATGTGAAGCAAATCAAAGCAATAGATGACCAGTTTTGTTTTATATGTAAAATCACATATTCTGGTCAATGTTTGTTTCCTTTGTTGTAAGAAGTAAAAAGTAGTTCATGCTTTCATTAGTCATTTATTACATACACTTCAGATACTTTTGTTTCTGAAATTCTGACTGATCTTGACATCAATAGTGACATATAAAAACACTGTACCTTCATTTTCTGTGTCGTCACCATTAGAAAGCTCATAAAGTGTACAAACAGTGTTGACCATCCCATTTTTGGATATCTGAAATATCAGAAAGAAAACTTTATATAACTGTGCCATATTAAATACACTTCTCTTATTCAACAAATAGGAAGAAAGATAACTGGCTGGTGGTTAATGAATTATACAGAGCTACACTGTTTCATTGTTTGATTTTCTAACTTTCTTTGGGTTAAAAGCTACAATTTGTGAAGCCCTGTGAGGCGACCGCTGTTGTGATTTTGGGCTCTACAAAAATAAATTGAATAGAGACAAGTATAATCACATTGTTAAGAGTTACACAACACATGAATGTCTCTGCAAAGATCAATTATCTGTGAGGAAACAGCTGAATCTCTGATTAAAAAGTAATCACGTCTAGTTATTCACACAAACAAAACTTCCTCAGAGATCACAGAAACACGCCAAGATTAATAAAGATTTTTGTAAATATTTGCAAAATCTCCTGTTCCTGATTTATTCTGACTTTAGAGATATAATCTGCAAACTGCTCTGACAGGGACATTGGTAAACTCAATAAAACTGGAATCATAATTAGTTTACAAAATCATTAATTCTTGTGGTAGTTGGTTAATAAGTATAAACTGTATATGTATCACGATCAAGTATTTAAAACCTAAATTTTGCATGCACACATTCTACTTACCCACTGGTATATTAACTTCCCCCATTCCTCTGGCCGTCTCCACATGACTAAACATCTAGATTTGTTTTTGTCCAGCCACTCCAAATTGCCTGAGGCGAAGCAATCAAACAAACAAGATAATTACATTACTATTTAAATGACAAGCTCCAGACAAATATTTCTTTATCAAAACATGTCCTAACCTTTTTTCCTTAATTCCTCAAACACAACTTGAATGGCTTCCATAGAAAGTTTTCCTGCAATTCAGTTAAGGCAAAAAGAGACCAGTCTATAGATAAACAAACTCTGCCTTGATACAAAAGTCCAAAGCTGAAATATCTGATACTGAGATCTGGCCAAATGCATTTATAGGCAAATTACAAAAACAGGTAACATTCTTTATAAAGGTTATGTAATTGAAATCAAGATAGTTACATCATAGAGCATCTGACATCATTTGGTTTACTTCAATTATTAAATTAACGATGAAAGATTACTGGACTGATTCATACTTCTGTGCTTCTCTGTAGTAACAAGTAATTCACAAGTAATTGCCCTTGTGAATCAATAAAGTTTGGTAGAAGTAGGTCAGTAAAAACTATTACACGATCTTCCCATAAGATAAACATTTGCATGCATTTAACAGTAAGTTTCTATGTTTAAAAGGAGAGGAAAATACTGGCAGTTGAGGTTAATGTTTTATATTTACATTTTGGTCTAAATTATACTATTCTGAACACACTATTATATCATGAAGAGTGTGAGGATACGTTCTATCTTCTTGTTGTTGAAAATGGGGCTTTCCTGAGCTTCCATGACGTCCAGAGTGTAGAGTTTGTGATGCCGACAGTACGACAATGTCAGGGAACACCATGCTGCCAGCTGCTTCTGTCTCGTGTCAGCATTGGGCTGTAGCCTTTAATAAATCAAAGAAGTGAATTCAAATCAAACACAATAATCACCAGATAATAAACTTATAAACCTTAGGCTTAATTTATAATGGAAAAATTTAAAGGCCACTTCATATTAAATAGGTGAAAATAATGGACTTGATTACCCATGATTGTTGCATGGCCCATATTTGGTTAATATTTTCTTTTTATTATAAGATATAGGAAAATGAGCAATCAACAAAAGCTACATTAAAGCTACCTAATATTAACCTTGTATCTTTGATACCACGAGTTCACTTAGATCTATTTTACTAAATGAAATGCATGAGCTCTTCCACTGCTGAGTCCAACTTTTAACATCCTTACAGTGGTAAATTGTTGTAATACAGTTTGATCCCAAATAACCCCTCAGTCTCACTGTACAACTGTACAACTATACTAATAATACAAACCTTTAGTCTGTTACTTATGACGCTTTTACAGTTTATTTGGGTGATGTTTATTTGGGCATAATTAAACATTAAACTATTAAACCATCGATCATCAAACACACACTGAGCCCACGCCCTAATGGAAACACACTGCACCCATCTGTTACCGTAAAATAACCTAACGGAATGGATTAAACTGTGAGTAGATTCACTGTTCCAAGAGAACTTGATGACTTGATTTTGTAGCTGATGATGTAGTTTTATGATAAAGTAGCTCAGTTTAGAGTCTCAGCCTCACCTCTAACAACAAGACAGAACCGGTCTCTTAAATCTAACGATCTAACACCACACGAACGTGGTCTTTCATATGTCTAATGGTTGTTTGGACAGCCAGAAGTCTTTAAGTTAAATTCGATAATTGATTGAAAGTTCAAAATCAGACTGTGCCCACTTCCCTAGCAATTTGTCATGTTTAGCCTGTTAGCTTAATGAGCTAATAATATGCTAATACGAACAACCAGGGCTGTGATTTTTATCTGAACCTATTCAATGACTCTTGTTTCCCAGAGGACACTATTAGTGTACTTCAGGTAAGTGTTACTTACGTAAAAAACGGAGGAAAATTATATTGCCAGGGCCACTCAAAACTCATTGCAGTTGTGCGGCGTTCACAGCTGACAGCCTCCGGAAACGGGTCCGACAACAAAATACTTCCGACAAATGTGGAAACAGAAGTTTTGTGCATTTAGTGTGGAGTTCGGATGTATTGGCATAAACATACTGGGTAATTATTGTACTTAAAATAATCACACCACCATGTAGTGATTTTAATCAAAGCATTTATCGTAAGTTATAATAGTTCGAACTTGAATCCAACAGGGGGCAGCAATGTACCGTCTCGGTGCCAGCTGTCATGCCACAGAAGAAGTTGATGACCAGCACAGCTCGCGCTCACGCCCACCCCTGTCTGCCCACGGTGCCCACGGTGCCCAGGCTGTCCACTGTCACGCCGGGGACCATCACTCACCGCCAGCGTCTGCAAACATGGGCAAAGGCAAAGATCTGAGCGACTTCGACAAAGGGCAGATAGTGATGGCGAAGCGGCTGGGAGAGAGCAGCTCCAGGATCTCTGCTCTGGTGGGCTGCTCCAGGTCCACGGTGATTAGCATCTACCAAAAGTGGTGCAAGGAAGGTGAGGCTGCCAGTAGGCGCCAGGGTCACGGGCGGCCCAGGCTCATTGATACACTCGGGGAGAGAAGGCTCGCCCGTCTGGTCGAGTCAGACAGAACAGCGACAGTGGCTCAAATAGCGGAAAAAGTTAACGCCATTTCGGACAAAAAGGTGTCTTCACATACGGTGCACCGCAGCTTGTTGCGCATGGGTCTGCGGCGCAAAAAGGTGAACGCATCCATGCTGGCCAATGTGCACCGACAAAAGCGCCTGCTGTGGGCACTTGAACACGAGGAGTGGACCGTGGAAGAGTGGAAAAGGGTGGCTTGGTCTCGCGAGGCACGTTTTTTATTTCACGAAGCAGGTGGAAGCGTAGCCGTGCGTCGTTTACCTGAGGAAGAGCGCGCACCTGGAGGATATCAAAGTAGCGGGTACACAGTGACTCTTTGGGGTATGTTTTGTTGGGAGACTTTAGGGCCTGTAGTTCACGTGGACGACACTTTAACCCCAAACACGTACATCAACATCCTCGCAGATCACGTCCACCCCTTTATGAACTCCGTCTTCCCAGAGGGCACCGGGTACTTTCAGCAGGACAGCTCCGCCTGCTCCACCTCTGACAGCGTCCAGGAGTGGTTTGAAGAGCACGATGATGAGTTCAAGGAGTTGACTTGGCCTCCGGATTCTGCAGAACTCAACCCTATGGAGCAGCTGTGGGATGTGTTAGACAAACAAATACGCTCAATGAACGCATCTCCGCTCACGAGTTTGGAGGAGCTCAAAAACTTACTGCAAGCCTCGTGGAGTCAGATACCCCAGGACACGTTCAGGGGTCTCGTGGAGTCCATGCCCCGCCGGGTTAAAGCAGTTTTACAGTCACGAGGAGGCCCCATACCCCTTGTACCAGGTGGTCTTAATATTATGGCAGATGGAAGCACTACTCCACTTTAATACGGACTGAACATAGAGCACTTCACTGTACAGTTCAATCTGTATCATGGACCTAAAAATGTTCTAACATACTGTCAAAAGTTTGGATACACTTCTCATTCAATGTTTTTTTTTCCTACTCTCTACATTTTAGATACATACAGGTGACATCACATATATGAAACCAAATATAGGGAATTAATTAGTAATTTTTTTTTTTTTTTTAGATATTTAGAGGTGTAATTTACCTTTTTAGATTTACTACTATAATTAAATTTATCTTGCTTTATATATCTGATGTCAGAGGTGGGTGCTCGAGTCACTATATTTAGGACTTGAGACTTGGCTTAATAAAATGGACTAAGACTTGGGACTTGACTTGGACTTGAGGCCTGAGAAGCACTTTTAAATCTGAATTCTTTCTATTCTGACCGTAATGATTCACACTAAGAGCTTGTCAAGATATTTAAAAGGAAAAATTTGCTAAATTAATTTCTATAACTCTTATATACTTATATATAAATACTCATATATAAATATACTATGATTTTATAGTACAATTTATTTTAATTTGAGTTTAGTTAAATTCATATAATTTGCAAAAATCTAAGCTATATTTGGTACTTTGGTACCAAAAGACTTGAATGGACTTGAAGCTCAAAACGGACGACTTGGACTTGACTTGGACTTATGGGCCAGTGACTTGAGACTCGACTTGGACTTGCCTGTATTTGACTTGGGACTGGACTCGGACTTGAGGTTAAAGATTTGAGACTTACAAAACAAAGACTTGGTCCCACCTCTGTCTGATGTTTTCTGAATGGATATAAAATGTAGAAAGTAATAAAAAAAAAAAAAAAAAAAACACTGAATGAGAAGGTGAGTCCAAACTTTTGACTGGGAGTGTAAGTTATATCCTTATTTTTGCACATAAATTATGGAGACACTTTATTAAACAAAGTTACTTTATTATTTGAATGACACATTTCACAGCATAAATACATATGCTTTCTATGTCTATTTACAGAAATTCATATTATTTATGTTTTGACTTCATGACCAAAATATAGCCTAAGTTAATTCATATTTGTCTATGTTATTGTACAGTACAGCATGACTGTAATTCCTTGTGTACATATTTGTAAATAAATCTATACGTTGAAGGATATGATGTCTATATTACAAGTTAATAATATTTCTTTTTACATTCCTATATTACATCAACAGTTTAAGTAGGCAAGAGGCAAACATCTCAGTTATTGAAAATATACAGTAAACCGTGCTGTAAAGCAGAAATATTAACCTAAAATAAGGAAAATGATTGTACTATTTCACATAGAAACTTAATGCACTGCGCTGTATTGGATTGTAATACAACTATTTTTAGAAGAAGAAGTTAAACTCAGCTGAAAGTGACTTGTGAGAATTAGAAAGCTACAATCTCAAAAACTGCAAAATTCTTAAACCAAATGTGTGGTTTGATTTCAAGCACAATACTGTCTTTTTGCACAGTAAATTTACCAACTAGTGGATCCTTTCAGTTTTCCATCTTTCCTTCAAATAGCTATATAATGCTTGTATGTATCACTCTTCTCTTTCATATTTCAGTTTCAGTTGAAAATTCGGTCATATTCATTCAAGATAAACTCCACGATCTGGTTTTGAAAGACCATATGCATCGTGAGATTGCTGGACTCATTCTCAGGTCGAAGCAGAGTTGGTCCAAACACTATTGCCACGTTTTGCACAGTCATCCGATTGTCCTCTCCATAGTCAATCACACTGCCAAAACAAGAACATAATGTCAGATATGTACAAGGAAATCATGTAAGGACTGTTTTCTTCTTTTCAAGGTGCACTATATAACTTTTCGGTTTGGGATCTGTCACCTTGTTTCTAAGGATGTCTCATTTCTCTGCTTCAAATGTTCCACAATGTGAGATTAAACAGATCTACCTTACATTTATTCAGTTATAGGTGGTTTTATGGCTCAAAAATACCTAGAAAAACATATTCTGACTGTGAGCAGGGTTGCCTCCCACAGATCTGACCTGTAACGTGGCCTGAGGTTTGGTCTCCATCATGATAGGAAGTTTGTCTGCTACACTTTTAAATATTTCAGACAAAGCAACAGAGGTGGGACCAAGTCGTTGTTTTGCAAGTCTCAAGTAAGTCTCAAGTCTCTGACCTCAAGTCCAAGTCAAGTCCAAGTCGTCTGCTTTGAGCTTCAAGTAATTTCAAGTCTTGAAAGCAAAGATTTTTGCAATTTATATGACTTTAAAGATAAATTGTACTTTAAAAAAATCATAGTATATTTATATATAAGCATTTATAGAGTAAATAAGAGTTGTAGAAATTAATTTAGTTAATTCTTCCTTTTTAAATGTCCTGACAAGATCTTAATTTGTCGTTACAGTCAGAATAGAAAGAATTCAGATTTAAAAGTGCTTCTCAAGTCACAGGCCTCAAGTCTGAGTCAAGTCTCAAGTCTTAGTCCATTTTATCAAGTCAAGTCTCAAGTCCTAAAAATAGTGACTCAAGTCTGACTCGAGTCCAGGTCACGACTTGCAAATCCCCATCTCTGCAAAACAATAACATTTACGTGGAGAAGAGCAGGTGGCAGAACCAGAAAAGTTACACAATGCACCTTTAAACTGCGTTGGAGGTAGTCATATATTGCACCCATTATAATTATTTTTAATTAAATCTGTTTCAAGTTTACACAATGCAGTAAAAAGTTCTTAGTTTGTGAATTTTGTTTAATTCAAGACACTTAACCTAGAAAAAGTGCTATATAAATGTGACCATATACAGTTTTTTAAAGAAATAGAAGACCTTTGCAGTGATCTTACAATAACAATACAACAACATGATAATACAAATTGTAATAGGGAAGGTTTTTGAGAATCAGTCGTCTATGAAGCCCTTTATTACTTGTCATTATTGCACAAACACACAAAAATTCTACAAAAACGTACTTGCGTAAATGTTCAAACAGGAGCTTCATGGTGTCGTGGTTTGGTTGAGGCAGAGATTTGACCAGATTACAAATGTAAGACAACTTCATGTTATAGTCCTGTTGTCCTGTAATGAGAAGACACAAGTAATAAATAATGTATATCAGATTAATTAGCATAAGGTAAAACAAACAAAATACATTTACAAGAGACAGAAAGAGAAAAAGTATAGGTTTGTTGTATTGTAGCTTAGCCTGATTTGTCGTCCGGTTTCACTTTGTGGAAACTGTCTGACTTCGCAGCATTAGAATTCGTTTGCTTCACGTTAGGCGGGTACTTTTTTAATTTAACCAATCGCTGCTTTTGATTGTGATGTATGTAATGCACCGCTAACAGGGCTAACTGGTATATTGTTTTTCCAAAATCCCGTAGGAAGAAGGGCAATAACGTCTTTCCCCTTGATAAAATTCACCAAACATTCTCTTTGTTTCAGCTTTAAATCCTCGATCTTGGGAATTGTTGCCAACACAGAATATATGGCTCTTCACTGATTGGCTGGTGCCTGAACTCTTCCAGGGTTTTTGCAAATCGTCTAGTGTATTCTGATTCCTGACCTAGTCGCTGGAGAAAAATGAAATTGAGCAGAGGCATTTATCAAAATATCTATATATCAAATTGTTTAATGTGATGATACAGTATCAATATCGTGGGCTGCTGTATTGATATATCCACAAGAGTATTTTTTGGTATATTTTACTAAATTATTTTGTTACAGTGCTACAGTTTTGTTGCTTGTTTAGAGAATGGAAACTCTTTTATGCAACACATTTGACATTTTCACTGTTTTGATGATTAAAATGTTTGTGTTTCATTTGAACTTTGCACAAGAAGTGGTTTAACAAAGACTTTTAGTATCACAGTCATGATTTAGCCTTTATTTTTTATTGAACCGTATCAAATTGATTTGAAATATATCATATCGAATCAAAAGTGCACTGTATTGAGATATGTATCGTATCATGGCCTATGTATCGAGGTATGTATCGTATCGGCAGCTTCTTAATGATGCCCAGCTCTAACTGTAGCATTATTTAAAGGTTAGGGCACCATACATTTGAGTCTTAGATAAACAATTAAACATCCCAATCATAGTTTTCATATACAACATAAGAAACAGTCCCATTAAAGAAATACATAAATACTATGACTTTTTCCATTTTGGACTTGTTTTTTTGCTCATTGAAAAGATAGAATATTTAGTTTTGAATCAAATTTTCATCACTCTTTTACTCTGGTTATAGTTTTTGTTTTGTTTTTGGCAAGTTTTCAGTAAAAGGATAATTCCCTTACATTGAAACTACAATTTACAATGTCCAAAAGTATGCCCACATATCCCAATATTTTATTAAATTTGGTAATTTAATCGCATAACTGTGTCTCTCTCTTTTCCCATAATATTAGCAGAGACTTTATTTGGTTCACTTTTTTTTTTTTTTTTTTTACTCAACCTGGCTCGAGTCTCTAATCTTGTACCGTCTTCAGGACAGAATGTTCCCACCCACTGACAGTTTCCACGGTAACAGTATAATCACAGTAATTCACTTCAGCTTCACCTGTCATCGCGCAATGGTCCCTTTGATTTCTGCTGCTTCAAAAAAAACTCAAAAACAACTGAACCAAAAACTGTGCCGTTAGCAATAATATCCAAAAGACAGGTTTTACTGCCGTAGAGAAAATAAAATGGGCACCACTTTATTTTAATTTGCCTTAATAAAGGATGAAGAAAGATTTCATTCACAGTGAACAAATAGTTTATAAAGAATGTTTTAACCACTGAATTGTTAGAGCTAGAGGTCTAGGCAGCACAAATCCAAACAGAGATTACAACAGTTTATCTTGTCATTATTGCAATAGTTGGTAGGATTTATTGGGCTGAAAAAGAACATTCTGTCCTCAAATTTGAACAAGTTTGACAATTGCTAAATTGGTCACAAAACTTTGTCGATTCTGAGCTTCTCAAAAACTGCGCAAAATGCAATGGCCAGTCTGTTGCCACCTAGTGCCTCCATTCACTTACATCTTCTCTCCAGCTACTAGATCAGGAATCAGAATACACTAGATGGTTTACAAGAACCCCAGAAGTTGTAGACAGCGCACCAGCCAATCAGCAAAGAGCCATACATTCTGTGTTGGCAGCGTGGATCTATTAAAATATCTGGATAGGGTGTTGCTGCTTGTAGTTGCCTCCAGTTGACGTAGTGACACTCACTGGAACTACAGCGAAAAAAATCTCCTGGGCTCCTGGGCTGAGACAGGATTTTTCTCATAGAGGCAATGTAATCACAAACTGCTCGTGTTCGACTGACAGGACACCTACTACTTTCAGAAGTGTTGGATTTTGTAGCGATTTGTACCTATTTTTAGATCATACACTTTTTCTCAGCTCAAAATCCTTCAGTTGTCTTAAAAAACGCGTTAACTCCTCTCCTCCAATTGGTCAAAGCGATCACATGATACACGAGACAGTGCTTCATGTGTGTGCTCGCATGCATTTACATGTGCCCATGGGAGAAAAGAGCACTACTGTGCATGCTCGGTAGCCCACAGCCACCGGAAGAACCTCACCGGGCTAAAGAGTAATCTGGAATCATGCGCCCAAGGTTTGGTTGGCAACAATTCCCGAGAACAAGGATTTAAAGCCGGAACAAAGAGAATGTTTGGTGAATTTTATCAAGGGGAAAGACATTATTGTCCTTCTTCCTACAGGATTTGGGAAAAGTTTAATATACCAGTTAGCCCCGTCAGGGGCGCAATACATACATCACGACCAAATAGCAATGAAGTGAATGAATCCTAATGCTGCAACGTCAGACGCTTTCCACAAAGTGAAACCTGCTGATGAATCAGGCTAGTGGTCAATACCAGCAGAATCAAACTTCAGGTTATTATTAAAATGCAATAGTAAAGTTGGTAGGTATAGAAAATGTGCCAGATTATAATACAGAGTTTCAGAGTGGATTGGTTCTATGTTATAATGTTTCCTCATCAAAAACATAATTTGAGTTGTGTTTAGTTTCATTCACACATTTTTAACACATAAACCCTGAATATTTAGACTGAGCTCGTCTCTTAAATTGAAAACACTTTGCTCCACCTTTTGATGTTGTGAGGTAAGACAAAAAGTGCTCCACTGTGTTTTTAAACTCCATACCTTCACTAGAATCATTTGATGATTTCAGACCTAGTATTGCCAATTGCATTTTGAGATTTGGAGATATAGATAATAATAAAGGATTACTCAAAGGTGTGTGAATAAAACAAAGCACAAGTCCAGGTATGTTTTTGATGATGTAACAACATTATAACATGTCTTAAAGCTCACCAGAGTCAATTTTGTGTAATATAGGACCTTTAATAAGTCATTAGCTCATTAGTTATGAGCCAGAAAATATTCTGTATGTAGAGAGAAAAAATACTGACATAGCACAGGCTGTTGGAACAGTACAGCTCATATATTCACTTTTACTTGTCCTTATGTTAATGCAGATTGAAATAAAAAATAAATCACAGTAATAATAATAAAATATTCAAAAACAGACTTACTGATAGCTTCTATGAATTTGTTAAAGTGACTGAAGGGGAAAAGTGGCTCAGGAAGCTCTCTGAAGAACAGCTTGAGAGCTCCTGTGATCACATGCACGTCCTCCCACTGCCCGTCCTCCAGGTCCAACTCCTCTGCTCACACAAAACAGAACAACGTTTACACTGAGGCTGCTAAAAATCTGATAACTAGAATACTCAGAAAAACCAATAATTACATCTGATTTTTGGTTTACAAAGGAAATCTGATCATCAAAAACATCTGGTGACTTTTCAGTTAATTAAAATATTTTAGAGTAACTTGTATTTGGAAGAAGAGTACAGTGAGTCTTAAAATCGCACTTTCAATCTTTAACGACTTTTTCTAATTTCTGCCTTTGCCCTTTTTGTAGATTCTTTCTGTTCAAAACCTGCACATGTGTGAAAAATCAGAAAGAAATCAGATTACTCCCATCTTTTCTTTGCTGTGAACGTAGTGCCTGACTGCAGTATGGTTAGACAACACCAGGGGGCGCTGCTGACTAAACTAAGAGTCTTACAGTTGACTACAATAAAGTTTAAAAAAAACTTTGTATTGAAAGCAGTTTACCGTGATCAGCTTTGAAGCGTAGTTTCTGAATAACAGCAAGATTTCCACTGACTCTGTAGAGACCATCAATGTCCAGACCTAAAATCAGCAAGAAAGTACAAGTATTTAGTATTAGTATTCAGTTATAAATCATAATTATTGGACTGAAGTCATGAATTTACTGAGACAAAAAATGCGTGTGTGCATGATTAATGCTGTCTCCCTAAAAAAAAAAAAAACTAAACAAAAAAAAAAATCGTATTTAATGTACCAAGAAAACTAATAAAGAGTAAAAAGTGAAAATATTTTATTTTATTTATTTGTAAATTTTTTGTTTTGCTTCTATAAAATATTAGAATTAATTAAACAAATTTTACAAAACACAAAATAAACAAATTAACCATGGGCCTTGAGTTGATGCACTTTAGACACTGGTAAAAGTCTACAGCGTGTGTTTTTTAATTTTTACTAGGGATGTAACGATATCCAAATCTCTCGGTATGATATTATCATGATATAAATCTCACAATACAAGATTTATTGCAATATTTTGGAGAGGTTGATATAATTGTAGATGGGACACTTTTTTTGCTTTTAAAATACCTTGACATGATTTTGGTGAGAATTATTTCCATCATAATCCCAAGAATTCAAGTAAAAAACATATTTCTTCATGTTGTCTTCGCTGAAATGAATCATGGGATATGTAGTTCCTTATGTTTATAAGCCGTTACTACTATAAAACCATGCATTTAAGCAAAGGAACTTATAATTCGATATATTGTGACAGCCCACGATATTATTGTGAGACTTTTGACAATACAATATCATGATATTTCAGTTATTGTTACATCCCTGGTTTTTACTGAATGAAATGGTCAGTTGTTGCCAGAGAATTAAGAACAATTTGGTAGAAAGAGCTCACTATAACATGTATTTCTGTATAGTACAAAAACAGAACCAGAACAGAACAAAAGCACATAGACTTGTTGCATTTATCTTTTTACCTCTCCTCTCGACTGCCCTGATGCACTTCTCCACAAAACTGGGCACTGAGCTCTTCTCCAAACTGCACAGAGTGGCCAGATGGCACCCAAACACATTGTCTGCAGAGAAAAACCAAACAAATATTAGAACAGGAAAAACAGACGGGGCAAAAGTTCATGATGCAAAACTGCGGTGGAAAATGAAAGAAGACTAGCAGACAGAAGATCATGCAATGTTTCAAATCAAAGGGCATAAAAAAATAGCTGAAATCTATACTAAACAGTTGCATTATCAAGTAGAAGTTTGATACAACTACTATCCATTTTAATTTAATGTTACTAGAAACTAACTATATATTGTATTATTTCACTGTAACTTAACAGCTACTTTCCGGGAGAAATACAAAAAAAAATCAAGCCTCCATTAATATTAAGAACAGCTTTTGTATCAAACATAAACCACTATTCTGTATTTCTGTGTACTAATTCAGAACTATGAATCACAAGTGTAGAAAATAGCCAAATACACAATAAAAAATATAATTACTAAGTAGAAGTACTCAGCATTATTTAGCATTGTAATGATGTGTCATACCAGGGGAATGAGTCATAAATTAAATCTAATCTAAAAAACTAAAACTATTACAGTCAATACAAATCTTACTACTACTACTACTACTACTACTAATGTGGCAAGACAGGAAGTGCCCCAGTGAGCTTTTTAAAATCCATATTTTTAAGACCCATACACCTTCACCAGTGTTGGGATTAACACATTATAAAAGTAACCAATTACTATAATGCACTGCTTTTTGCAGTAAGGCAGTAATGTTCGGCTTTACAGGGAAAGCATGGTAATATTTTACTCAGTACAAATGTGAGTAACGCACGTTGCAATGCTTTTTTAACCTGGATTGAAGTGGTGGGTTTTATGTTTTTCTTCATACAGATTCACTAAAATCTCTCAGTTCTCTCTTGCGGTTCTAGATTCCAGGTGCTAGTTCAAGAATAGTCCTAGTTTGGTCCTGGTTTAGTCCTGGTTTAGACCTGGTTTAGTCTGGTTTAGAGAGTAACTTAAAGTGATACAGTAGTTGTGTAATGTTTTACATTTTAAATACAGAAATATTGTAATGTAACTAATTATTTTGAAATGACACTAACAAGTCATAAATAACACATTACAGTTTTGAAGTAACTTGCCCAACAGTGATCTTAATTAGAGTCATTTGGATAATTTCAGATCTAGAAATGCCAATCAATACTGAACAAAAGGTAAAAGGAGCTGTTTACTTGAAAACTACCTCTTCTTGACATCATAAGCTGGAACAGAGCATTTTGAGCTCAGGAGATATACACAGACTAATAATAAAGGATGACTCAAACATTTGTGAAAAAAAAAAAAAACTTAACTTACAATATATAACTTTTCTGACAGAGACTCCATATAGACATTATTGGTTTTCCCTGGAAGGTTCTAAAGTATGGCATTTAATTGAACTATTTCCATGGAGACAAGCAGCTACATCTCCAGGTCAAGGTACAGGTCAGATCTGTGGAGAAGTGGGCCCCGCTCACAGTGAGAAAGCATGTTTTTTGTGGTAGTTTTCAGAACCAAAAACTCCTCTAATTGGATTAAAACAAGATATATTTGTTTACTTATTTGCAGACAGCACACATTCCATCAGAAAAGCGACACAGTGCACATTTAAAGCTTGCAAGAATCCATTTTGCGTAATATAGGGCTGTTAAATCTGCCAGTACCTCTGATGTAGCCCTTCTCTTTGACTGACTGCAGTGTGGGGCGTTTAAGCAGGAACTTCATGAGCTTGGTTCGGACTCTCTTCTGATCCGCCTCCGCCGCGTTACTGGACGAGCTAGTGACACTGGCCCTGGCGGCTGCAAAAAACAGTCAATCAAAGTTCAATTGTGTCATGGTATTTTTAGCACCCTGACGGCCTAGATCGTAGTAACTGGGTCAAATGGACTATATAATTAAAAGAGGGTAAGGCACAGAGGTATGAGGAGGTGTTAAAAGGTGATTTACCTCTTTTCTTCTCCTGTAAGACTTGTTTCTCTTCTCGCTCGATTGTCGGGAGATTAGGGATTTTCTCGTAGAGGTCATTGTCCTCCTCCTCTGAGTGATGCTCCTGGTATTCCTGACACAAAAAGGAAAGACAAATAAGAAGAAACCAAAGCAAACCTATTAAAAGATCATCCTAAACATACCTGGAGTTGTGTTTTGTTTCATTCACACATGTTTAATTAATACACGAACCCTGGACATTTAGGCTGAGTTTTTCTCTCAACCACCTTATGATGTCATGTGGTGATACAGAAGTGCTCCACTGTGTTTTTAAACTCCATACACCTCCTTCACTAGAATCATCTGGATAGTTTCAGCTCTGGAATTGCCAGTCTCTACCAAATTAAAGGTAAAAGGAGCTGAAACTACCGCTTCATGACATCACAAGGTGGAACAGAGCTTTGGAGATGTAGACAGACCATAGACTGTATATATGAGTGGACATATCTAACGTACGTGTGCCAAATAGGAAGTTCACCAGGAGGCTCTTCCGGCTCCTTCTGACTCTGATTCTATTTGACTTACATGTATTTATTTATTTGAGACAGGGACAGCGCACAATTTTTACATTAAACTTAACAGGAGAGATGCATTGTACATTAGGTTGTAGCATCAGTGCAGATTTCCACCTGTCGTCCCTGGGCAGATTCATTGATTGATTGTATTTAACTGACCTTAACTATCAGCTGTTCTTGGAGACCTGGAGCATGTTTTGGGATATTTGGGAACATTAGGATCTTGTTGCCCCTCTCTCTGTAACTGCTGCAGCGAGCCTCATCATTTTGGTCTTAAAATGTTCATATTAACCCACGACACAGGATCTGGATTTTTTTTTTTCATTATTTTAACTGTCAAAAACATCCTATTCATAACATACAGCCTGACTCCAGATTCACTCCTATAACCGTTAACATCACGAGCTTCATTTGAGCGGCGCTGAACGCTGTGGATGACGTCACACTCGCTTAGTCCACTTCTTTTATACAGTCTATGAGACAGACTAATAATAAAGGTTTACTCAAGCATGTGTGAATGAAACAAAACCACTCCAGGTCTGTTTTTGTAGAGGAAACAGCATATAACATGATTTAAAGCTCACAGTCAATTTCAATCCATTTATAATCATACCAGTTGTTTTATTGTGTCCCCGAGGGCTTTGTGCCAGTCGCTGATGATGCTCTCTGTATCGTATTGTATCAGAAACTCTGCACCATTCTTACTTTTCAACTGGAACAGAAAAAGAAAACATTTAACGTTAGTCAAGTACTGTATGGACAAGAATGTGACACAGTTTGTTAAATTTTTTTGTTCAAATATGTGACTTGATCCTTGAAACAAACAAAAAGCTACATCCAAATCTCTGCTAAGAAGGATTTCCTGGACTGGGCTATAAATAAATATGAATATCACAGATTTTACACAATAGTTTCAGTCAGTGAAGTAGCCTCTCTGACCTCTGTATGTCTGCAGTATTTATGAAGCGCACATGGAATAACTATAAAAACAACAACAGCATATACTAAATACAGAGGTTTAAAGTAAGTAACGACAAATACATGTTGCTGTAGTAGATTTTTTGCTTTACCTCCTCTAATTGACCCTTGAAATATGCATATTCTGCTTTAAAACAACTTTATTTAGCTTTAAACTGTTCAATTAATCACATTTTGTATAAAAGACTGATCTAAAAGGCTACAAAAATCATGATAAAAGGTCATTTCTAGTACTCAGAGTTGTATTTTCATGCACACTTCCTAATTTTGCTTAACTACAGTTTCGGCAATAGAACTTCCTCACTTTTACTTTTAATTTACTTTTTACTTTTACTTTTTAGTCAGCTTATGTAATTATACTTTTGCTTAGATAGCTACTTCAGTGATCCCAAAGGAAAGTCAAAGTTATTATTCAGTACTTGTTCCATGTTCCAGTGTATAAAACAAAGTGGGCACCTCTAGGACATTCTTCTTGCTGGATTTGTCCTTGGACGCCCAGTTGATGGTGGCTCCTCTCAAATCCACTTGAATCTCAGGCACGATCTGATTAGTCTTGTTCTGCAGAAGAAGAAATATCACGTTCATACTTGAATAATCATGTTAGTTTAAAGGTGCATTGTGTAACTTTTTTGGTGGAGTGTCTGTCAAACGCTTTTCTCCATGGAGATGTTATTGTTTTGTCTGGAATGGTTCATAGTACAGTATTAAACCTTTCTATCTTCATGGAGACCAAACCAGGCCAAGTTACAGGTCAGATCTGTGGAGAGGCGACCCCGCTCACAGTCAGAATGCTTATAATACAGGGGTGGGCAAACTTTTTGACTCGAGGGCCACAAAGGGTTCTAAAATTTGACAGAAGGGCCGGACCATGAGCAGATGGATGGAGTTTTTTTTGTAATCCACCTCATAAGAGAAAAAAATAACATGAAATATGTAGAAAATATATCCCATGTTATTGAAATATCCCATAATTGAAAATCATTACAAAGAATTACAACAAAATATCTGTCTTTCAAGTCCCACGACATTTCCGATTTATTAAAATAACTTTGAAAAACACTGAATATTATCAAGTTCCGTGGGCCGGATTAAGAAGATTGAAGGGCTGCATATGGCCCCCGGGCCGTAGTTTGCCCACCCTTATAATCCAAAGAAACAAGCAAATGATGGACCCTCAACTAAAAAGTTACACAGTGAACCTTTAAAGTGACTATGCCAGGTTTTCATGTTTTCTAATTGTTACTTGGTTTGGTGAGGAATATTTATCATAGTTTTACACCAGTTAAGCCACAGTTTGTTGAAAAAAAGAAAAGTAACAGGAAGTAGCGGTGACTTCCAAAACCTCAGAATACCTCAATCTAAAATTCCATCCAAAATGAAGGAACAGTTTACACATAAAGAAGCCACAAGGTCAGTTTAAACTTTCACTTCACTAAATAAAGGCCCTATCATTTATTTTCGTTAGTCTAATCATAACTGTTGTGCTGTTTAGACAAGCTATGGCCCTTGTTAACATCACGGTTTGTTCATCATTTGCAGTAAAGTCTTAAATATAATTACATTAACTATGGTCTGGTAGTGATATTAGTAGTTAAACCTGTCATATTTTAAATCTCCTCACGACATTTCTATTCACAACACAAAACTTTACAGCTGAGGAATAGTCCACGTCGTCACTGCACATAAAAGCAACTCACAGACAGGAGTTTTATGTTTCTGTCTTTTAAGTGAAAATGATACTGCTACAAAGACTTTCAAATAGGCTATGGGTAAAAGGTCATAAAAGTTGTATAGGCCCACTCTGTTTAGGCAAATGTTCTTTAAAGTTTGGTACACAAGCTCCTTTAGGTGATACTGGGGCAGCTTTTCAGTTTGTGGGATTTGCCTCGAGTTAAAATTATGTAGTCCACTTCTAGACCTGGTTTAGAGCTAGAAAAGACTTGCAATGAAGTACATTTCTCATTCATTTTTCCCATAAAATAAAAAAAAAAAATTTTTTTGAACTCTTAGGGCTAATCAGCTATAGGGTAACTAATGACCACAATACCTATAATTTTATCTAAAATCTGTTTTCTGAAACTTTATAAACTGCAAACTTATTGAAGCATTACAGCAAATATTATGTTTTAAATGTGGTTTTAAGCTTTGGGTTATGGTCATTAATTACCACGTACCTGGTTAGCCTCCATGATGTCTTTAAACTCTTTTTAAGTTTATGGGAAAGTTTATGGGAAAAATAATGGAAAATTTACTCCCAGATGTGGAGCGGGCTGAGCACTGTTGAGCTTCATATTCCTGTGATATACTGCATTTATATCTGGTAATACTTAGAAAACCAAATCTTCTTTTTAGTGGTACTTGGTGTGAAAACTTTGAGAGTCACTGATCTCAAATGTGGAAAGTATAAATAATTTTTTCTCAAATAATTTCAGAATGATGATGGGGAGGAACCAGAAAATAGACCAGGATTAAACCAGGACTAGAAGAGCGGATGCAGCCGTACTTCAGTGGATTTTGGAGCAGAAATGCAAACATTTTATCACTATATTTTTAGATTTTATACATTTTTATAAACATATTTTACTTCCATTTATGCAACTTTACACTACTAATGCAAATTTCATCCAAATAACTATATATTCTTCTGCAATTTCTACTTAAATCTTCAAAAAACTTCAAATTGAGTACATTTTAAACTCCATTTTGAAACTTGTACATGGGTCATTTGTACAACACAAACCACAAATGATAATAAAGGGGACAGTAAGTATGCGTGTAGAAGTATGTGACAGATGCCAAGTATGAAACCTACTGAAGACCACAAAGATATTTTAAGAATGCAGTGATAGAGGTGACAGGATGAGTTCAAAGCAGATAATTTACAATGTTAACACCCAAATTGACAAATAAAAAATGAAAAATTGTACCGAGGCTCCTGTTGTTGCCGATTTTGGGTCTTTGTGAAATGTCAGAACTCCATGTTGAAGAACTGTCCAAGTCTGAGCCCAGTTTTTCCTAAGAGAAAGAAAATACGTATAAGAGTTTAGCTCTGTTCATTTTATTAGAGCAGCATTAAATTGTATTGTATATATTGTGTAGTAGTACAATTTTGCTCAAAAAGGAGTAGGAAGAGTGTAGGCTTATAAACTCCTACCCCTTTCACATTCTAGATATTGACAACTGTGACTCAACTTTGTACATCAAACTTCATCACATGAACATAGGACGTCATTTCCTAGTGAGCCAGAGTGTTGACACTTTTTTAAATATTCCATCCAGTCTGTGTATTTGCAGAGGTCGCTAGTGCTAGGCTAGTGCATGTCAATGGCCATAGTTATCCTGACACTAAAAACAGTTTTACCCACTCCACAAAACACCAGAAGCAAATCTATTATTACACCAGACTGTCCATGTGAATGTCTGTATTGACAGAATAATGTTTGAAATAAAACTAACCTTGTATCACATGAATCATCACATGTTGAGGGACTATTTTCTCATATATCAGTCCGCCGCTTCCAAGCTTTCTATCAGGAAGTACAACTCACTACTGCTCACACATAAATCCTTCATATGCCAAGCTGGTTTTACTTCTAAACTTATTCTATCAACACAAACATTCACATCAACAGTCTGGTGTTATAATAGATTTGTTTCAGGTGTTTTGTGGAGTGGGTAAGTGGCAGGAAAACTATGGCCATTGACATGCACTAGTCTAGCACCAGTGACCTCTGCAAATACAAGGACTGAATGGAATATTTTAAAAAGTGTCTCCACACGTCTCCAACACTCCTACGTCCAAAATTCCGAACTGTGCCTTTAAGTTCCTTAAGTTTTTTTGTTCTTATTTTGTTTGTCATGGTTGGACAAAGAAACCTGGGGGCAAAGTAAACCCTGAGACCTTCAAATACTCCCATTTAGAACTAAAAAGACAAATTTTAGGTGAAAAAATTGGTCGTGGCTCACCTCACTTTCTTTCCATTTTCACATATTTTAGTTTTGTTGAGAATTCCAGCTTTTTCCAGATTCTGCACCTGCAAAACGAAAAGGTGTTTACATTATTATTCTGATTAAACGGATAATAAAACATGTCATTTTGATCAACTTTTTGTGTAACTTTTTTGGTTAGGGTTACGTCACCTGCTTGTTTCTATGGATATGTCATTGGAATGTTCCACAGTGTGACATTAAACAGCTCTACGTTACATTTATTCAATTACAGGTGGTTTTAAAGCTCAAAAATACCTAGAAAAACAAGTATTCTGAATGTGAGTGGGGTCGCCTCTCCTCAGATCTGACTAGTAACTTGGTCTGGTTTGGTCTTTATTAAGATAAAACGGTTTAATACCAGACTGTGAAACATTCCAGACAAAGTAATAACATCTCCATGGAGAAAAGCATTCGAAGGATGCTCTACCAGAAAAGTTACACATTAAACCTTTAATATGAAGACACAAAAGCGCATTACATCGCACAAATTAAAACACTGTAAAACACATAAAAGGAAGTGAAAGACAGAAACAGATATCAGACAGCCTCATCTTTGCACTGGAACTATCACATCATGTGTTATCTGATTTTGTTTTTTTAAGTCTAGGGTAAATGCCTTATTAAAATACACCACAAAACTCTCAAAATAGCAATGCTTCATTTATGGAATTTGTGTCTCATGGTTGAAACTAGTTAGCCGAGCCAGTTTGACAGCTTTGTTCAGAAAGAAAACATTGAGGACAGCTGAGAATGAGAGTTAACTTTATACTTACAAAATTGTATCGAAATATCGTGATACCGTATCGTCAAAGTTCTCACAATAATCACAATATATTGAATTACAAGTCTCTTTGCTTAAATTAGGAGTTATGGTGCAGCAATAGCTATAAAAAGACAGAGGGAACTACATAGACCATGATCCTTTGTTCCATTTCAGTGAAGATATAACAGTTCTAAGCACTTTTAAGTCTTTTGATTAAGGCATTTTAAGAGGAAAAAGAGGCATATTAACAGTTTAGTTTAGCCTCCACAAAATATCGCAATAAATATTGTACTGTGAGATGTATATCGTGAAAATATCGTACAGAAATTTGGATATTGTTACATTCCTAATCGTGAGCTTTCCCACAATATCGCAGTAAATATCGTACCGTAAGGTTCATACCGTGACAATATCGTATCGTGAGAGTTGTATATTGTTAATTTATTTCAGTTTTGTAATAAAGCTAAAAGAAACCTGACTGTTACCTGCTGTAAAACTGACATGCAAATTAATTCTCTTATGGGGACAGTAAAGTATTTCTTATCATAAAAATAAATTAAAGATCTAAAATAGGCCAAACACAACAATAAAATACAATACAAAATAAGCACTGAAAAAGCTGTACATGGATTCAAATTTAACCTTATACTGAGAAGTTAAAGGTGCACTGTGCAACTTTTTTTGGTGGAGGGTCTGTCAAACGCTTTTTCTCTATAGACATGTTATTGCTTTGTCTGGAATGTTTCACAGTATGGCATTAAACCTTTCTATTTTCCTGGAGACCAAACCAGACCAAGTCACAAGTCAGATCTGTCAGGAAGAAACAGAGGGAGGACCCAGAACGCAGGACTGCTTCAGTTGTTTAATGTAACAAATCCAAAAAAAACAGAAGAAACCAAATAATACAAACTGCAACAGACATGATACTGACAAAGACAAAGACAAATACAATGGACCAACCCAGGGCAGAGGAGAAGACAGGGTATAAGCACAAAGATACAGGGGTAACACATTAGACATGAAGTAAATCTCTAGACTAGAAGCAGACAGGACAAATGTCAAAATAAAACACCAATGGCACACTACACTACAGGAAAAAGATACACCAAAAAACCAAAAGCAACGACTACAGAACATGAACATGAACCATGACAAGATCTGTCAGAGTGCCTGTTTTTTAAAGTATTTTTGAGTTATAAATCACCTGTAATTTAATAAATGTAAAGTCGAACTGTTTAATGTTGTGCTGTGAAACATTCAAGACAGATAACATCTTCATGAAGAAAAGCATTTGACCAGAAAAGTTACACAATGCACCTTTAAATGAGAGACTGCATGATTTGACACCGTTGGTTAGATAGGCATTGCTATCTACAGACTGGGCTCAGGATTGACTCTTAAAACTAAGCACCCACGTTATAGCGCAGCCACCTGGACGTCAGATAATAAGGGTTTCTGTACGGCCTGAACCCAAACGCCTTGAGAGAAGAAGAAGAGAAAGAACAGAAAGAAAGAGAAACCAGAGAGGAGAGCAAGGATAAAAAAACAACCTCACTTATATGAACTTTACTTTACTTTATATGAACTACACTATGAAATACAACACAACAAATGCTTTCCTATTATGTAACTATATTAGGGTTTTGAAACTAGATGTTGCAAATGTAAATTCTATTGCCTAAAAATATATAATTTCATCATCTTATTAACTTTCAGATATCATTACTTAAACTAGTTTTGAATCTAGATACTCAAAGTTTGTAGACAGTGAAAAATAGATCACATAAATGATTTACATGGTGATATTAAAGGCACTACTATTATTTTATGTTGAAAATTTTAGCTGTACTGTCTAAAAATAAGTATGATTTTATCATCTTATCAATTTGTGGTATCAAAATTGGTATTGAGAAGTCCTTCGAGGAACTGAGTTTGAAATGTTATCATCATAATCAGATTTAAGACATCAACGTCTGGCTTGCGTGAACACCATGACATTCTATTTTAAAGATATTGTGGCTTCTAAAATTCTCAGTTATCCAATACTGATATCAAAAAATCATGAATAAAATAAATAAATAAGTAAAAATTGGTAGAGTTTGAGCATTCCTAGTGTGAAGAAGGGATGTGAAGAGCTATGATTTGGTAGAAAAATAAAAAAAAAATACTCACATTGTGCTGAATTTCTGGTGAGTTTCCAGTGCTGGAGCTGTCGCTGCTGTAGTCGGACGTGGTTCTTCTGTGAGTGGCGACGAACCTCTGACAAAACAAAATAACAAAATACAGTTTGAATTTCCCAGTTTGGCATTTTTAAGATTTCAAAGTTTACTTCCTGACTGACTGAAAACCCTGACATTACACTAGGTTATTTCAACTTCTTAGCAACCGTGAGTCCACAGAAATTATAATTTGATAAGTAAAAATGTAAGAAAACACCTTTATTTTGTTGAAATCATGTTTGAAGTACCAGAAAAAATGTGTTTCTTGGTAAATTGTGTTGAATTTTTGGATAGAATTCTCTTTACCTTCTGCAATTTTAAACATATTTTTCAAATTTTCTTCACAAATTGCTTATCAATTCCTGTAAAACTTTCATTTATATCGACAACAGGTACAACATTAAATCTGGTTGTGGGTCGGTTTAATACAATTCAATTCAAGCTTTATTATCAGACTGAACAGGTCCATATAAAAGCAAACAGACAGAACTTGCAGTGTCTAAATATTTGTCATAATCTGGATAGTTAAGCTCTGTTGGTTAATCAGAGCAACGATGGGTGTTCACTTTAGTCAAGTTAATGGCAACACCGCAGACACAGGGACATACCGGTCTACATTCCTGACATATTTATTCACTATTAAGGCAGAGTGATTATTGAAATGCAAAATACTTGACTAATTCAAGGCTAGATCAGCAAAGGTGACTAATCTGTAATAATAGTCTGAATGTATTATAGTATGCTATTTTCAGATCTTTGTTATAATGTTGAATCTGTGTATCATTTGTTCATTTGTTTTTCAAAATAAAACCTAAAAAAAATAAGAAAAAAAAAAATATTTTCTTCATTATCTTCGAAACCAAAATGAAAAAAAAAAAAAAACGATTTTGATTTTGTGTTTAAATGAATAATGGAAAAAATGGATAACGGTCGTTTCCCATTTCCGTGACTTTAACTGCGATACCAGACTTTTGCACTGTATACGGATAGAACCAGGACTAAACCAGGACTAAACCAGGACTGAATGTTGGGACAGGCCCGGAGTTGTGCCCGTGTAGACTGTCGGGTGATCAGGACTGAGACCAGGATCAGACTGGAACTGAGACCAGGACCAGACCGGGACCAGGACCAGGAATGAGACCAGGATTGACCAGTTTAGTCCTGGTTTAGTCTGGTTTAGGCCTGGTTTAGACTTGGTTTAGTCCTGGTTCAGTCCTGGTCTCCCGACAGTCTACGCGGGCACATCCCCGGGCCTGTCCCAACATTCAGTCCTGGTTTAGTCCTGGTTCAGTCCTGTTTTTGTCCTGGTTCAGTCCTGTTTTTGTCCTGGTTCAGTCCTGTTTTTGTCCTGGTTCAGTCTTGTTTTTGTCCTGGTTTAGTCCTGGTTCAGTCCTGTTTTTGTCCTGGTTCAGTCCTGTTTTTGTCCTGGTTCAGTCCTGGTTTAGTCCTGTTTTAGTCCTGGTTCAGTCCGTATACGGCGCAAAAGTCCAGCATCACAGTTTAAAATCATGAAAACAGCCGTTATCTGTTTTTTCCATTATTCATTTAAACACAAAATCAAAAACTGAAAAACCAAATCGTTATCTGTTTTTTTTTTTTTTTCATTTTGGTTTTGGAGAGAAATAATGTAGAAAATAGTTGTTTTTTCATTTTCTTATTTTTGGTTTTATTTTGAAAAATGAATGAACAAATGCTACACATATTATGTAGTTTCCTCATCACAACCAGACCTGGAGTTGTGTTTTGTTTCATTCACACATGTTTAACTCACAAACCTGCATGTTTAGACTGAGTTCTGTGTTCTTGTGCTGTCATGTGGTAATACAGTAAGTGCTCCACTGCGTTTTTAAACTCCATACACCTTCACTAGAATCATTTGGATCATTCAGACCTGGAATTTGCAACCTTTACTAAACAAAAGGTAAAAGACAGCTCCTAACTTGAAAACTACTGCTTCATGACATCATAAGGTGGAGTTTTGAAGATGTAGACAGACTAATAATGTGGGATTACTCAAACATTTGTGAATGAAACGAAAGGAAACAACATTATAACACGGCTTAAAGCTCACGAGAGTAAATTCTGTGTAATATAGGACCTTTAAAAGTCCTTCTTTTCCTTTGAGCCCACTGTTAATCCCTGTCTGTCCCCGTAGAATATTTGAACCACCTCCCACATGTTTTCCTCTCTTCTTCTTCTCCGGAGGCAGTGCTGCAAATACAGGGCTCTGCTGTAAATTTGCCTTGCTAAACAGTAGTTAAAATCCCTGTTACACCCCTGATACCAGTGGCACCACACCCATGCCATAAGCCTGACACAGACTCCTTGTTCGCGCAGGTTTTTGGAGCAAGAGTTGTGAGTTCGTACCCCGTCGTCCTGGCCTTGGCTCAGAGTAGCTGGCCCCATACTGTGTCTCCAGTTTTTAATCACATTTGGGTTTTCGGGTTCGAGTCCCCCGTTCTCCACACGCAAATGTCCAGAAGAGAAAGGTGCCTGTCAGAATACAAGTGTGTTTTAGTTTCATTCATACATTTCTTTATTTATAAGTGTATTTTTTTCTCACATTACAGTTTTACGTGCAAAACTGGAGTGATCAAAATGAGTAGGCTGCAGTGAGAAACATTTTTTTACAGGACAAAAAAGCAAATAACACAAAAAATTAACTAAAAAACTAAAAAACTGGGCAATCAAACATCAATTAAAGTCCAATCTTGAAAAGAAAAAAAGTAAAAATGAACATCTAAAGTCATTCAAAGTCTTACTGTTTCCTCCTTTATACATAAAAACATACTTTTACAATATTTTCTTACCTCCACAAGCACATTTTTTAAGCAATGATGTCTAACAAACATCCAGGAATAAAATATTATCTGCGAGTTAAAACAAAAACAACTAGACCAGGCTAAAAACAAACCCTGAAGAAGCTTTGGTTAAGTCCAGTTGCTTTTGTTTTAACTCTCTTATCGTAATTTTGTTTTGGGGGAATTTACAAGATGGTTAGTTTAACAAAATATACTTAATCTTATAAAAACAATGTGATTAAAAGAAAGGATTAGAGGATAGGCCAGTAGAATCAAACAGGAACTATAACATGTTTTTGTAGCAGAGGTGAGACCAAGTCGTCGGTTTGAAAGTCTCAAGTAGGTCTGAGTCAAGTCCCAAGTCAAATACAGGCAAGTCCAAGTCGAGTCTCGAGTCACTGGCCCATAAATCCGAGTCAAGTCCAAGTCGTCTGCTTTGAGCTTCAAGTAATTTCAAGTCTTTAAACCAAAGTACCAAATACAGCTTAGATTTTTGCAATTTATTTGAATTTTAAGATAAATTGTACTTAAAAAGTCATGGTATATTTATATATGAGTATTTATAGAGTATGTAAGAGTTGTAGAAATGTTAATGTTTCTTTTTTAAATGTCTTGACAAGATCTTAGTGTGAATCATTATGGTCAGAATAGAAAGAATTCAGATTTAAAAGTGCTTCTCAAGTCTTCTCAAGTCACAGGGTTCAAGTCTGAGTCAAGTCCCAAGTCATTGACCTTCAAGTCCAAAGTCGAGCCCCAAGTCCATTTTATCAAGTCAAGTCTCAAGTCCTAAAAATAGTGACTCAAGTCTGACTCGAGTCTAAATCGCGATTTCCCCGAAGTCCCCATCTCTGTTTTGTAGTATTCACAATACACTGAAAACTCAAGACAGGGGTGGGATTTAATACGTTTTTAATCTTCCCACTCCTTTTTGAGCTCAAATAAGAAATGTACATTAAGTGTACTGGATATTTCTTGTGTTCATTAATCTGCTTGAAATAAATAAACACATACAAATTTTAAAAATTAAAAAGAAAGCTGATATTTTTCTATATTGTCTGTCATCATCACGTTTAAATTGTATGTAAATGTATTTTAGTCAAACTAGTCATTTGTAGATTTGCAGTCATCATATATTATTATCACGGCAAATTCACACACATCTGTGACTATTCTTATTTTATCATTGACATTTTTAGCGAGACAAGAAATGACTAAACCAAGCTCACCAAAAGGAAATTGAAAAAGACGATCGCTAGACAGTACACGGTCAAAGACATCCAGCGCACACAGGCAGTGACAGATATAAGGCGTTGTGTAATTGTAGTGTAATTGTAGTTCAGAGTTGCGTTTACCTCTGGAAGGGTCCACTGTGATTTAGAGCCGTCTCTTAGATAATAGTAGGTCTGGCCCTGTTCATCCACTGACTTGATCCACTGTTACACAACAAGCAGAGAGACACAGAGACAGAGGAAGGGGGTGTAGTTTAAGCAAATGTACTGTGCAAAATCTGCATTAGATTTGACTCACACCTGCCCATTCAATACATTTTAACCAGTGCTGGAACATCATAAAGTAAAAGTAGTAAAGTACTGTACTTAAGTAGAAATTTTAGGTATTTGTACTTATTATTTGTTATTGCCTTGTCTGGAAAGTTTCACAGTATGGTATTACACCTTTCTATCTACACAGACACCAAACCAGACCAGGGTACAGGCCAGCTCTGTGGAGAGGCGACCCCGCTCACAGTCTGAATGCTTGTTTTTCTAGGTATTTTTGAGCTGTAAAGACACATGTTATTGAATAAATATAAAGAAGAGCTGTTTAATGTGATGGACCCCCAACCAAAAAGTTACATAATGTACCTTGAAGTAGATTTGAAAGCAGATACTTTTTACTTTTACTTAACTACATTTGAGAGCATGTATCTGTACTTTCTACAACAGAACTAAAAAGTAAAAGTATTTTTCATTATAGTTTCAGATCTGCTGAAAAGGCTGAGGGTCTATTTTTTATTTTATTTATTTTTTACTTTTTATTTGTACTTTTCAAAATTTTAACAAATGTACATAATATAACAAACAATCTGTGCGGTTCTACTACAAAAAAAGGAAAAAACTTTATACACTGGATTGAGCTTTGTAAATAGACCATTTTGACCATCGCTTTTCAAATTTACCAGCTTTCAGTCTCAAATAATAGGTTACTATTGCGATCCCATAAATTTCCTCCATTATATCTGTCCATTGCTGTAATTTTAAAGGGTCATCCTTCAGCCAGTTCCTTGTTAATACTTTCTTACTAGCCAAGTGAGGGTCTATTTTTAACATATTCATATTCATTCAACAAAAATAAAATCAGCTAGGAAAAAGCATACAAAATTCAACACAAATCTTTATCAAAATCACTACATTTGAAGCTTCATAGGAGTTCAAAATCTACACGAAATACTTTTACTTTTTACTCTTTAAGTAGACTTTTAAACTTAAGTAGATGTTTTCATGTGATACTTTACTGTACTTTTACTTAAGTAACAACATCGAGGACTTCTTCCACTACTAATTTTAACAACCCTATTAATAACTAAGGTTGGGTCATATCATTTTGCTGGTGATGTGTATTTGTTTTTTTTTTTTTGTTTTTTTTATTATTAATTTAAATATCAGTTTATTTATTTATCCTTTTTTAACCAGAAAAAAATCATTTGGATTAAAAACTCCTGTTGGTTTTCAGACTATTTACATTAAAAGCATCAGTCAGGAAGTTAAAAGAGCCCAAGAAAAAAGATCATCTATAGGTGGGAGCCATGGGTATATTGTCCATATAAAAGTGGTATGGTACGTATGCTTTGAACCATGCATTCACACCTTTATTATATAACGCTGAGAACATTTAGTCCCTTTGTACATCACCTGATCTGAACCACTTAAAATGGGAACACTCCACACGAGCTCAAGTTTGAAGATTCTCTCTGACCCAGTTGTCTAGACTAGATCTATGTAGCTTGTCAAACTTCTTCAATCAGATTGGATTACATTTTATTAATATTTTATTAATAAAACTTCGATAGAGAAAAACTGCAGCAGTAAAAGTGAATAAATATAAACACATTCTCACATCTACAGTATATCAAATAAACAGATAGATAACTGCTTTTAGGCCAATGACTGTACATATCTATTTTAAACACTAGAAATTTTGGTTGGTATCATCAACAGCTTCAAGACACTTATAAATAAGGGGATATCCTGCACTTTTGTGGTTAATTGTATTCGCTTTTGTGTGATACAGATCTTCAATCAAGACATAAAAAGACACATCTGAGCATATGATCTGATGAACTGCAAAAAATATTATCTGTAATGCAATCATCCTAATGCACCAAAATATACATGCATATTTATCACTATTACTCACTCCTACCTTGTTACATTTTTCATTATCAGTACTAAATAAATTTCCACAGACTGTCTGAATAATTGCCTCATCATTGCACTAAAATGTAAAAATGGTCAGGACTCACTTGCTCGGGCGTGTGTTCGTTGGTGAAGACCCAGGTCCCATTGGCCTCCACGGTGAGGTTCCAGCCTGACGGGGTGCTGCGGTCCAGAGAGGCGCGTGGGATCACAGTGCGGGTCACATGACTCAGGCTGAAGTCAGAGGGAAAGGTGGGAGAGGTGGGAGAGGGTCCGGCCGCCACACAGTCCTCGTACTGCTCTGGGGGGTCCACAGGGGGATAGTCCTCCAGGGGGTAGTCCTCTTCAGGAAGAGGCGGCTGCCCAAACAGATACAATCAACAAACAAATGAAAACACAAACTCATGAAGCTTTTTCCTTTTCTAGACATGAAAGAGGCTGGCTCCACTGCTTCAGTGTACAAGTATTATGTTTAGCTTCATGTTTGTACACAAATGGCCCCTCACTCCAACTCTTACACAACAGTAAATAGTCAAATGCAACACAAAATGAGCCTAAATATGCAGGGATTGTGTGTAAAACGTGTGTGAATCATACTGTGGCTGTGTTTTTGATGAGGAAACAACAATGCAACAGAGATCAGAAAATAACGTAACATGGGCCCATTAAACTTGATTTTATTTACCTGGGCTTGGGACTGGCTCAAATAATGCAACACTATTGGCTCAAACTTATAGTGTAACATTTCTGGTAGAGGGTCCACCCCCTTCTTGTCTCCTTGGGGATGTGATTGTTGCGCGTAGAATGTTCCACAGTATGGTATTAAACTTTAATTTAAACTTTTATTCCATTACAGGTGTTTTTATTGCTTAAATATATCAAGAAAAACAGGCATTCTTAGATGCACTGAGATGCCTTTCCATAGATCTGACCTGTATTTAGGCCTAGTTTAATTTCTGCTCATCTTCATGGAGATAGATGAGTTTAAAATTTCACATTGCAGACAAAGCAACAGTAACGGCTCCATGGAGACAAGCAGTTGAACTCTTCACAAGAAAAGTTACACAGAGCACCTTTAAGAATAAGTCAATTCTCATTTCTTGAACTTAAAAATGTGTGGAGATAATCCATACAATCTCAAAGTCAAATAATTATACTGTTTATGATACATAAAAGCTTTGCATTTTGAAATCTTGTATAATAATTCCCACCTAGAAATGTAACCTAAAAAACAATACTGGAATATTGTATTGTAGGAGCTATGGCAATATCGAAAGAAGGAAATTTCCCTATTACAATATGTGACCTTTTACTTCCTATATTACACAAAATTTACTTTGGTGAACTTTAAACCATGTTGTTACTTCATCAAAAATATACCTGGAAATGTGTTTTGTTCCACTCACACATGTTTGAGTAACACTTATTATTAGTCTGTCTACATCCCCAAAGCTCAAAATGCTCTGACGCAGTAGTTTTCGAGTTAACAGCTCCTTTTAGCTTGCATTCAGTAAAGACTGGCAATTCTAGGGCTGAAATTATCCAAATGACTCTAGTGAAGGTGTATGGAATTTATGAACATAGTGGAGCACTTCCTGTATTGCTACATGACATCACAGTGTGGGACAGAGCGCTTTCTGTTTGAGAGAGAAACACAAACCTAACTGCCTATAAATATGCAGGTTTGTGTGTTAAACATGTGTGAATAAAACAAAACACAACTCTGGGTGTGTGTCTTATGAGGAAATGACATTATAAATATCAGAAAATAGCATAATATGGGCCTTTTAAACTTGTACCACACTAAGTTATGATATTTATTATACAATAGCGATGTGATTTTAGTAGGACATTTATAATATGCATATCAGCTGGGTGAAGCTGGCAAAATCAATGTACTTATGTAATTTGTGCCTTTGTTGAAGAGACAATGGATTTTCTATAGATTTCTCAGGACACTCTTTGCATCGTAACACATGTGAGAGTGGACATGCTTGTGTTCATCCTTGAAACACCTCACCTACTTTACTCAGAGCTCCATGACTTTGATTAATAACCTTTCCATGACCCACTGTGGTATTTCTACGCCTGTTGTTTTTGAGTATGAGGAAAGAGGAACTTGATTTCCTTTGTATTGCCTTGGTTCTGTTCAAATGAAATTTGACAACATGTAAAAACTATTTTATGTTATACATCTGGCCATAACTTCCTCTATGATATTATTACACCCATAAACAACAGTATTATGACCAATGTCTGAGCAATGCTGAATTATTATTAATTGGCTTAGTGACTGGACTGTGACTGGAGGGGTTAGTATGTAGGCTCCCAGCAAAATGATCCCATGCATGTCCAAGTATATGCACAAAATATGCACAGTAAGCCAGTCTTTCATTGTATACTACTGACAATGAACCTAGCTTTAGATCTGCTGAAGTTACCTAGTAGATTTGAAGAATGGGTCAAATGCAAAGGACAATTTTCCCAACTTGTAGATGGAGCAATATGGTACTTTTTCTTTATATTACTGGGGAACTTTTTACTATTTTCTGTCCTTTTCATATATGTTTTAGAGTCTGTATAGTCCAGATAACAATTGTGATTATCCAAATCTGATTATTATATATGTTTAATAGACAGCTAGTCAGTATTAGAATATATAGAATTGTTTTGGGGGGGAAATCCTACCTAGGCTGACACCACTTAGTGCCTCTGCTCAATTTAATTTCTCTCCAGCGACTAGGTCAGGAATCGGGATACACTGTTGTAGAACGCGCACCGGCCAATCAGTGAAGAGCCGTGAAGCCATGACGTCAAACTCAAGCGCCTGTCTGGGTCCCTTTTGTGGTACAACACAACAGTAAACAAATCGGTCGAGATGGATGTAGACGAAGACATACATTCTGTGTTGGCAACAATTCCCGAGATTGAGGATTTAAAGCTGGAACAAAGAGAATGTTTGGTGAATTTTATCAAGGGGAAAGATGCTGTTGCCCTTCTTCCTACAGGATTTGGTGCATTACGTACGCCACGACCAAATAGCAGCGATTGGTTAAATTAAAAAGTATCCGCCTACCTTCGTGCTAACCTCATTCCTAATACTGCAAAGTCAGAAGGTTTCCATGAAGTGAAACTGGCTGATGAATCAGGCTAGGGAAATTGTACTACAGGGTTATCAGGTCACCAGCAAAAATAGCATTCAGTATTATCGTTATAATAATATCATCTATATTTTCTTTAGCAATGCATTCTACTTTCAAAGTTGTTATGGTGACAGACCTATCAACACGGACTACCACCCTATATACTAGTAATACATACAGTGTATTTTGACCACACCATTGGAGCTGGGACAAGAGCTCGTGTCAAGTTTTTGCAAGATAAAATTGCCACAAGATTAGTGCACACAAGAGGAAATATTATCGAGTGAGATTTTTTACTATGCGATTATGTTCCCACAAGACACGACATGGGTAAACGAGTACGAGAAAAGACCTAACTTATGGTGAGTATTTTGTGCAGTTCAGTTCATAATTTTGCCCTTAAAAAGTTGTATCTATTTTATCTAATATATTTTCTTTCACTGTAGAAGTATGTTTTAAAACTACTTTGTCCAAAAAAAACATCTCACAAGATAATTATGAGCAATTTTAGGTCTTGTCCCATTCATCATCAAAAGCTTGAACTAAACACATCAACGTTTTTGCTACTAAACTATTTATATGTTTTGATTTTTTAATAGTTGTGTACATTTTAATGCAAAATAGCTACATTTGCAGCTTTCTCGTCAAAAACAGTCAAAACTTGAGTGTGTGCTCTGTGGTAATTGCAATTTCAAGTACTATGTAACATCACACAGAACTGCCCTGATTAAATAAAGGCGTTTCTGATTACAAAATCTGGCTGCAGAAGGGCGGAGTTTGAAGTGTGGATACCTGTTAGATCAACCACACTGTTCTTTATGCCTCCAGACCCCGCCGATCTTTTCCCCAGGCTCTCCCCTTTAGTGCTCCAGGTGCTGCCCGAGTTTAGCGGCTCTATTTGAAACGTGGTCATGGAGGAGTGTATATGTTTAGTCCTACTTTAAACGGACTTGTCTATGTAGGTGGGTGCGATTTGAAACCATTCTAATCAGACCATTTTCGCAGCAATCCCTCGGGCTATTCTGAAACAGGACAGCGCCGCTAAATAGAGCACCGCCGTGTCCTCTCTTACCGGGCCGTCCTCGTGAAATCTGTGCACGCTCATAGGCTCCATCATGGGCGGGTCCCAAGACGTCTCCCCAGACATCGGGTTGTAAAAGTAGGTCCGACCACTTCTCTCATCCACCAACTCTTCCCAGTCGGAGGAGGGCGAGGCCGGGGAAACTGTTGGAGACTGCGGAGGCGACGGAGAGTGAGGGTGGGGCTTAAGTTCGGAGGGGGAGGAGTCTGTGAAGGGGTTGTCCCAGGTGGTTTCTCCCGTGGCAGGGTGGTAGTAGTAGTCCTGGCCGCTGTCCTGGTCAAAGTGGACCTCCCATCCTTCGGGGTCGAGGAAGGACGGAGAGGACGGAGAGAAAGAGGGAGGGGCAGAGGGAGGGAGGGCGGAGATGCTCTTTCGGACCTGGGCTACGTTGACGTAAACAGCTGTATGGTCATTGTCTACCTGTGGAAAAAACAAACAAAGCAGGTATTAAAAGAAAGCAACATAAATACTGGTGTAATTCTAGTTCAGATCTATAGTAGAGCGTATGCTTATACTCCTGAAGATGTTATTGCTTTTCTTGGAATATTTCACAATATAGTGTTAAACATATCTATTGTCATGGAAACAAGCAGGTAGTGTTACTAGGTAAGGTACAAGGCAGAGGTTGGACCAAGTCGTTGTTTTGCAAGTCTCAAGTATGTCTCAAGTCTTTGACCTCAAGTCTGAGTCAAGTCCCAAGTCAAATACAGGCAAGTCAAGCTGGATGGTTAAGTCCAGTTGTTTTTGTTGTAACTGTTTTATCGTAATTTTGTTTGGTGGGAATTTACAAGATAGATGGTCAGTTTAACAAAATATACTTAATCTTATATAAATGATAAAAGAAAGGATTAGAGGATAGGCCAGTAGAGTCAAACATAAACTATGACATGTTTTGGTAGCAGATGTGGGACCAAGTCGTCCTTTTGCAAGTCTCAAGTAAGTCTCAAGTCTTTGACCTCAAGTCCAAGTCAAGTCCCAAGTCAAATAAAGCCAAGTCCAAGTCGACTCTCGAGTCATTGACCCATAAGTCTGAGTCGAGTCCAAGTTGTCTGCTTGGAGCTTCAAGCCATTTCAAGTCTTTAAACCAAAGTACCAAATACAGCTTAGATTTCTGCAATTTATATGAATTTTAAGATAAATTGTACTTTAAAAATCATGAAATATTTATATATGATTATTTATATAAGTATACAAAAGTATAAGAGTATATAAAAGTTGTAGATATTGATTTAGTATTTTTTTCCTTTTTAAATGTCTTGACAAGATGTTAGTGTGAATCATTTTGGTCAGAACAGAAAGAATTCAGATTTAAAAGTGCTTCTCAAGTCACAGGCCTCAAGTCCGAGTCAAGTCCCAAGCCACTGACCTTCAAGTCCAAGACGAGTCCCAAGTCTTAGTCCATTTTATTAAGTTGCGTCTCAAGTCCTAAAAATAGTAACTCAAGTCTGACTCAAGTCCAAGTCACAACTCGCAAGTCCACACCTCTGCTACCAAGTTAGATCACAATAAACGTTTCCTAGATATATTTAGCATTAAAACAGCTGGAATTAACCAATGCAGAATAGTTAAGTTAAATGCTCTGCTGTGACTCTAGGTAAAGCATGTGACACCCCACCAAAAAAATTACATAGTACACCTTTAAGACAATAATACAAGAATGAGTAATAGCACGGCAGAGGATAGAAACAAACAGAAACCACCAACATCACCAACAGTCAGGGGCATGTAGACATAGACACATTTTTATCAAACACAGAGAAAAAATAAAAGAATTTACTTGCAAAAATGTAAATAGGATTATAATTGAGATTTCAAGATGTCTTAAAGGGTGCACAGACTACTCTTATACTCTGACAGGATTGTGAAACAAAACAAATATTACAATGACAAAGTATCATAATAAAGTGATAATAAATGATCAGAAATGTGAAAGTTAACATGTTAAATCCTTTCGTACAGTTGCAGAATGAGTAACCGATAAACTATAAACAGTAATTTCCAGAACTGTTTCATGCACTGAATGAAATGAGTCAGCAAGAAGTGAGAGGTTGTCCTGAGATTCAATAAAAAATCTGATGCTAAAAATAAACTTGGCATTTATTTAAAAGTATAAATTTGTCATTACTATTACTGTTGACTACGGGTGAAGTGTGAAGATAACACTTTATGTACCTCACTCGCAGCTCACAAGTTTTTATAAAGCTCTTATTGGCTTATTTTGTCTTTGTTGCTCTCAAACAGGAAGTGGCCTAAAACAGTGAAAACACACACACTTCTGAGAGCAACGCCCATCCCACATTAAACTGTACATCACCTCATTCCTGTGTCATCATCTGTTGCACCAACACCCACAGAAAAACAACCCAAAGTGTGGTAAAAAGTCTAAGTTTCGCTGGATTTAAGCAAAGCGAAATAAGGACTTGAACTTATGATTAGGGACACACTGATACAGCTTTTTCAGTTCTGATACAGGTTCAGCTTTTAAGAGAGACTAAAGACAGCACTGATTTCTTTTAAACACAAAGGAAATAAAACTGAAGTGATAGAAATGTGTCATGTACCTCTTATTTATCCCTCAAGAAACTACTGAAACTAAGACCAGTAAAAAGTCTTATAATATAAATTTATATGTCCAACCAGGATATCGGCAAAAGTCTGGTGACATTGATCTTTGTCGGTAAGGTGTTGCCTGAAAGATAACTAATATGATTATTAATATGAAACAGACTCAGCTTGGGCCAATGGTAGAAACAAAAAGCAATGTGTTATTTAGGGTTGTAACGATATCCAAGTCTCACGATACGATATTGTCACAGTATGAATCTCATGGTACGATATTTATTGCGATATCGTGGGAAAGCTCACGATATGGTGGGGAGGTTTATGATTAGGGATGTAACAATATCCAAATCTTATGGTACGATATTTTCATGATATATATTCCACAGTACGATATTTATTGCGATATTTTGTGGAGGCTAAACAACTAAAACTGTTAATATGCGACTTTTTCCTCTTAAAATGCCTTGACAAGACTTAAAAGTATTTAGAACTGTTATTTCTTCTTGTAGTCTACACAGAAATGGAACAAAGGATCATGGTCTATGTAGTTCCTTCTGTCTTTTTCAAGTTATTCCTGCACCATAACTCTTCATTTAAGCAAAGAGACTTGTAATTCGATATATCGTGATGGTCCACAATATTATTGTGAGAACTTTGACGATACAATATCATGATATTTCGATTATTTTTACATCCTTAGTGTTACTGTCTCCATGTAGTGGCCATTTCTTTTCTGAGAATGATCCACAAGGCCAAGTTACACGTCATATCTATGGAGAGGCATCACATACATAGGCCACCTTTCAAAAGCAGCAGTTAGTAGTTTAAGTAATAGTGTAGTAGTAGTAGTAGTAGTAGTAGTAGTAGTAGTAGTAGTGTGTATATTATGTAGAGATATTAGTTTCCATTCATTGAGTGGTAAACAAATACCTTTTGATGTAGTGTTAATTTAAAAATAGAAGTAGCGCTATGGCAACAGGAGCAATGTAATAATGATAGTGGTATTTGTTGTACCTATAGTAATAATAATGGTAGTAGTACTGCAAGTAGAACCAGTAATCTGAGAGACTTTATTGTATGTAGAGATCCACTGATACGAGTGTTTCTACAGCCAATAAAGATTCTTTAGGATCCAGAGCAACTGATAAACCGATAAACTGCAACGATATTTTGAATTTCAATATGAAGGGCAAGTTTTGCTCATTTACCCAAGTGTCAAATGAAACAGAAAACGTACACCTATGCCCGGATAGAGGTGCAAATGCAAACAGCAGATGCTTCAAAGTGAAAAAATGCATTGCAGCATCAGTTTTAATTTACCCAAGTGTAACATGTGACATTTCTATAATCTCAATTACTGTCTAAACTGTAAATTGATCTATATAAGACAAATCTCACATTTATAGCAATGATTTTTAGATAGCCATAATCAGTTTGGTCTCATAAACTATTCAAATTAGGTTTAGTCAAGTGGCCGGTCCATACATAATACTGTTTTACGACCTATCATGTCCATAAAGAAAAAAGGCCAATCAAAATGTCCTCAAGCACTCATTTTGGTCAATCATATATTATATAAGAAATAAAAAGATACAGTAGAGATAGTATACAAGTACACAAGATGACACATTCTAATCTACATCAGCAGTGGAACATAAAGTAAAAGTAGTTAAATACTGTGCTTAAGTCAAAAAAATGTAGGTATCTGTACTTCACTTGAGTACATTTTAAAGTGGATACTTTTTACTTTTACTTCACTACATTTGAGAGCAGGTATCTGTACTTTTTACTCAATTTTGAACAAGGCTGGCAAGTAAAAGTTCATAGTCTGTGCAAAAAAATATACAAAGAAAAAGCTAAAAGAAACTGAAAGAAAGAAAATACTTTTATTTAAGCAGATTTTTTCATGTGATTTGACTTTTCCTTGCGCATTTCTTAACAAAATCGAGCTCTTCTTCCACCACTGAACAACATACACACACACATTTCTGTCATGTTTACTTGACAAAAATAATAAAGTAGTCTATTCGAGTTGCTGCATGCACATTACATGCAAATCCAGATATCCATGGCAACTGATTTGTTTAAAGCAGTGAAACTTACATCACAGACTCTTTCTATCTCCGACACTGATCCGGATCAATTAGGGGCAGATGGAAAAACCCAAAATGCAAAAACGTTCTTTATACAAATGTTAGTAAAGTTTTGACTTACTCGGGTGTAGATTAGTGAGTGACCTGATGTTGTAGTAGCAGAGATCGGTTGACAAGTGGAACGAGAATGTCTCTTTCAAACCAACTTTTGCATATAGGTATTTTTAGCTGACACGTACAGAGCTGCTTTCATTGTTGTATCATTAAATAGCGCTGCTGTTACTAAGCGATCGAGTGAAGTCTGCCTATAACTACGCTGTCAGTTTGTCTGCATCGCCTTAACCAGTTGGTCCACTTCAATAAAACATGACTAAAATCAAATAAGAAAAACTGGGTTAGTACTTTAGTGACAGCAGTTAAAGGTGCACTGTGTAACTTTCCTGGTAGAGGATCCATGGAAATTTTATTGCTTTGTTAGAAATGTTTTAGTGTGGAAATAAACTTTTCTATCATCATGGAATCCAAACCAGGCCAAGTTACTGGTCATATCTCTGGAGAGGAAACCCGCTCACAGTCACAGTCACAGTCAGCTGACCAAAATGTATCTTAACTGAGTAATAATTGTATTTATTTTTACTTTATTTATCCTATTTATATTTGGGACAAAAGTAGAAAAGTTTAATTTAGTCCTTATATAAATACTTTGTTGACTAGTAGTTTTTCTGCATAAAAAGTTGTTTTTTGGATTGTTTAGTGGACTCATGG